ACTCTCTCTCTCTCTCTCTCTGTCGTATTGCCATCCAGGTAGATGCCCTATTAGCAGCCTTAATAACTTTAACAACTTTGTGAAAATCCATGACTCACATGGTGTCGAAAGCTAGCCCAGCCTATAGTGCGGTGTTAGATGTCACTTTATGAATATTCATGATCCCATACCAGGCCCCTTTGTTAGTGTATAAGAAGTACACAGCTGCGAATTGTTTTGTATATCTATCGACATAAGGATTCAGCTCAGGTCATCTGGCCCAGTGGCTTCCATTAATTCTATCCTTCCATTATCAGTTCTTCTTTTCAGTCATCAAACATTCTGTTTATCTGCGTAACTACCTACCTATCTTCCGAACTACCTTCCCTCCCATGAGGTCTATCTATCTATCTATCTATCTATCTATCTATCTATCTATCTATCTATCTATCTATCTATCTATCTATCTATCTATCTATCTATCTATCTAGGATTAATGCGGAATAGACTGAGTAAGAACTAAAAAGAACAACAAATAAACACTTTAATATATTGCACTGACAGTTCAAACCCACATGATATCGATCCAAAATCACCATATAGATGAATTTGTATAGTATTTTTTTTCTGCCAGGTATACAAGCAATGCCCCCCCCCCCCCCTCCTCATCTACCCTTCCCTTTCCTCTTCACATGAAGCTAAGCCGCACACCTGCCACATAGATAGATCCAACTGATTCACAACATGCTCCTTGACTTGTTTCACCGTTGACTGTTCAGTTTCCCATCATTACTTCGCATATGATCGGCCGTTTATCTGATTGTTTTGGGGTTGATGTTGTTGTTGTTGCTAGTTTTTTTGTTGTTGTTTTTTTTCCTAGCTCACACTTTGAAAATGTGCCAACTTATACGACATGTACTTTCAACGATCATTGATTTTTTATTTTTTTAAAGGGCGTGTCAAAATGCAAATGCGAGAATACTTGTTAGATTTGTGTTTATGCATGCCAAAAGCACATACAAAGAGTACCAGTTAACCCGTTGTTGTTGTTATTAGTCACGGCAGACAGCTGTCTCCGCTTTGCCTCAACGACTCAACTCTACTCTTTATCTGACCGCATGAAAAAAAAAAAAAAAAAAAAGAAACAATGACATCGGAGCATGCCAACTCATGCATTATTCTGCTGGGACTTGGCCGATTTTTTGTTTGTTTACCTGGCCGGAGGTGAAACTTGGCCAAGGAGTATTATAATATTATTATCTTTCTTATTATTAAACTGTCGAGTTTGTCGCTTTGCACTTATTTGACTCAAATATCTAAAGTTTAATAGCGTCGC